GGAACGTCAGTGTGGTGCTCCAACACTGCAGGAACGTCAGTGTGGTGCTACAACACTGCAGGAACGTCAGTGTGGTGCTACAACACTGCAGGAACGTCAGTGTGGTGCTCCAACACTGCAGGAACGTCAGTGTGGTGCTCCAACACTGCAGGAACGTCAGTGTGGTGCTATAACACTGTGTGTGGGGGGGGGGGGTCAGGGTGTATTGTTGGAACTCTACTTTTACTTTTCTTGTTTGATCTTTATCAGATTTCTTGAGCGTCTTGGAGATGAAGTTGAGAGGCACTCTTGCTGTAATCTGCTGTAGTCTGCTGTGGCCTGCTGTAGTCTGCTGTGGCCTGCTGTAGTCTGCTGTGGCCTGCTGTAGTCTGCTGTAGTCTGCTGTAGTCTGGGAAACCGTTTGGCCGCTACAGCCATAACAGGGAGGCCGAGGTATAGGAGAATACATTGAGATGTGGTGGGAGAGGCACCCAGGGAGGGGAGAGGCACCCAGGGAGGGGAGAGGCAGCCAGGGAGGGGAGAGGCAGCCAGGGAGGGGAGAGGCAGCCAGGGAGGGGAGAGGCAGCCAGGGAGGGGAGAGGCAGCCAGGGAGGGGAGAGGCAGCCAGGGAGGGAAGAGGCAGCCAGGGAGGGAAGAGGCACCCAGGGAGAGGCAGCCAGGGAGGGGAGAGGCAGCCAGGGAGGGGAGAGGCGGTGCAGGAAAAGGTCACCGTGGCCCACAGTAGGACGGTGACTGGGCACGTAGAGGTCATGGAGAGGAAAGCTGGACGATTACGATGAAAGTAAACTCCCGGGTGCAGGGGAGGGGGGGGCCTGGGGCTGTAAATTGGGGGGTTGGAGGAGGAGAAGGGGAGGGGAGGGGGGGAGGGGAGGGGGGGATAGTGAGGGGGTTGTGGGAAGTGAGAGGAAACTGTGAAGAGTGAGAGAGAGGGAAGTAGGGACACGGTGAGGTATTACACAGAGACCAGGATTGAAAGGGGTCGCTGCCAGTCACTCCCTCTCTCAGAGTGAGAGGGAGTGAGGGGGGGGAGAGAGAGTAAGGGGAGGGCGAAGGGGTGAGAAGGTAGGAAAAAATATCGAGATGGATTGAGTTGGGGATTGAAGTTGAAGTCATCAACTATTAACATCACTATTAACACATTCATCAACACCACCAACGGGAATCGAACCCTGTGTTCAAGGTGACGGAAGCGGCACCCATTACCCACTAAACCTAAAAGTGCTTAAGTGTGCTCAAAAGTAACACATCTTCAAGCACTTCCTGACCTACAGGACGCACCAAATTTACAAGTATATTTTGAAACACTTATCACAGCGCATCATATACTTGTTGAAAGTGACTCATTTGACTTGAAAGTGAAAGTGTTTTCATAGGAGAAACATATGACTTTTGAGCGTGAATATTAAACGTATAATCGGTTGGTAGTTGACTTCCCCCCCCTTCCCCCCCCCCCCCTCCAAGAAAAAAAAGTTTCACCACCATCCGGAATCAATATTACATTTACCAGCTCAAAAATCCTGCATATCTCCCCTACAATACCGGCGGAGGATCCATTTCAATAAATGTATTCAATATTTATTCCTTCACCAAGTGTGGTTGATGCGGTAAAAAGTATTTCATGAGCGGTGACGCGAGGCGTGTGAAGCACCGCGGCGACGGAGACCTTCAGAAGCCACAGTCAGGTGAAGTCAGGCGGAGAGACATACAGTTAGCACAGGACAACACTCCTCCTTACCTCGACTGGAACTGGAAACAGTTCACTCTTGTCTGGGGACTGGAGCCATGTGTGGGAAGGGGGGTGGGTGGGTGGAGAAGGTTATGAAAGATGCTCTCGGACGTAGGTTCGAATCCTCGTCACGGCCCTTGTGGATTTATTCACGGTTCACTGTTGTCTGGGGACTGGGGGGACGGGGGGAGAGAGGGTTCACTGCTGTCACGGAGGTTGTACAAGCATGTGGGAGGAAGTATAACTACCCTGGGGAATATGGTGATAAACTCAGGGTGGCAGCGATGGTAATGTGCCTCTGCTGCCTGGCAACACTCATGTGTATTTCTGTGCAAGATAAATTTTCAGGTATTGGTGACCCCCGCATAGTGTGTCTTGACCTCGTGTGGCTGGTGACCTGTGTGTGGGTGGTGACCTGTGTAGTGTGTGGGTGGTGACCTGTGTAGCGTGTGGGTGGTGACCTGTGTAGCGTGTGGGTGGTGACCTGTGTAGCGTGTGGGTGGTGACCTGTGTGTGGGTGGTGACCTGTGTGTGGGTGGTGACCTGTGTGTGGGTGGTGACCTGTGTGTGGGTGGTGACCTGTGTGTGGTTGGTGACCTGTGTGTGGCTGGTGACCTGTGTGTGGGTGGTGACCTGTGTAGTGTGTGGGTGGTGACCTGTGTAGCGTGTGGGTGGTGACCTGTGTAGCGTGTGGGTGGTGACCTGTGTAGCGTGTGGGTGGTGACCTGTGTAGTGTGTGGGTGGTGACCTGTGTGTGGGTGGTGACCTGTGTAGTGTGTGGGTGGTGACCTGTGTGTGGGTGGTGACCTGTGTAGCGTGTGGGTGGTGACCTGTGTAGCGTGTGGGTGGTGACCTGTGTGTGGGTGGTGACCTGTGTAGCGTGTGGGTGGTGACCTGTGTAGTGTGTGGGTGGTGGCATGTGTGTGGGTGGTGACCTGTGTAGCGTGTGGCTGGTGACCTGTGTAGCGTGTGGGTGGTGACCTGTGTAGCGTGTGGGTGGTGACCTGTGTAGCGTGTGGGTGGTGACCTGTGTGTGGGTGGTGACCTGTGTGTGGGTGGTGACCTGTGTGTGGGTGGTGACCTGTGTAGTGTGTGGGTGGTGACCTGTGTGTGGGTGGTGACCTGTGTAGCGTGTGGGTGGTGACCTGTGTAGTGTGTGGGTGGTGACCTGTGTGTGGGTGGTGACCTGTGTAGTGTGTGGGTGGTGACCTGTGTAGTGTGTGGGTGGTGACCTGTGTAGTGTGTGGGTGGTGACCTGTGTAGTGGGTGGATAGTGATGTTAGTAGGCGGGTTGAGAGGGGTCAGCCCCGACCCGCTATACTGCATCAGGATAATCAAATAGAAGACAATGTTCGGAACAAATGTTAAGAAGAATCAAGCGCTCTCCCATGGCACAGACCAGGAGCTTGACCCGTTCGGAATAACCGAACTTCGGACAGAACACCGAGGTCATGAGCATCGGACAGAACACCGAGGTCATGAGCATCGGACAGAACTCGTGGGTGACACAGAGTTGACGCTACCTCATATGGCAACACTCACAAGGAGGAAGTATACCTGTAGTATACCTCGTGTATACCTGTAGTATACATCGGGTATACCTGGAATGTATCTGTAGTACACCATGAGTTTACCTCGAGTGGATTTTGGAAGGTTTTCATCTGCCCAGGCCCGGCGTTGGGCCCGGCTTGTCTCGTAATGACGTGATCAAGCAGGCTGTTGCTTGGAGCGGCCCGCCGGCACATTACCGGCCGGCCGTCTTGATAACGAAGTCCTGCACAACGTCCCAAATTATTTTCTGAAGACGTCCACCTTTGTTCCAGCAATATTTCTTATGCTTGCTGGGAGGGTGTTGAACAGCTGTGGACCTCTGATGTTCAGTGTTCTCTGATTGTGCCTATGGCACCTCTACTCTTCACTGGTTTTATTCAGCATTTCCTTCCGTACCTCTCACTCCAGTATGTTGTTATTCTACTGTGCAAATTTGGGACCTGGCCCTCCAGTATCTTCCATGTATATATTATTTGATACCTTTCTAGTCTCCTTTCCAGAGAAAACATTTTGAGAGCTTTGAGACGGTCCCAATAGTTTAGATGTTTTATCGTGTCTATGCGTGCCGTATATGTTCTCTGTATTCCCTCTAATTCAGAGATCTCTCCTGCTCTGAAAGGTTAAGTGAGTACCGAGCAATACTCATGACGGGACAGTACCACTGAATTGAATAGTAAGAGCATATATGTGGAATTATCTTGATTTGTAGGTTCTCATAATCCATTTTTTAATTTTTCAAGCATTGGCTATAATTGCTTTATTATGTTCAATAGACGTTAGGTCGTCTGATGTTATGATTCCCAGATGCTTTACACGTCGTGTTCCTTCAGTGAGGAGATCTGAATGTGTCTTGGTTTACTGTGGTTCGTTTTTCTAAGTTTTTCTCATACCTCCGTATCCGAATTTTTCACTGTTAAGTAATTATCAAAAGAAGGTACCAAGCCGGGGAGAGTTTTGTAGCTTTTTCACTGTTGAACTTTTCACTGCGACTTTCTGTTGTCTAATTGTAGATTTTAATTATATTAGTCCATAGTTTTCAGTGTCTTCCACATAAGTAACTTTTGTGTTTATTTTCGTAGCGTGTACAGAGAATGACACAAAGCTGTAGCATGTATTTTGTTTATATCTAACACGAGAATGAGAAAAAGCAGTGGTGCAAGGACTGTGCCCTGAGGTACAGAGTTCTTCACTCTGCTTGGACTTGATTTTGTTGGATTAACAAGAATGTCAAACTTCAGTTTGACATTTGACAAGAATACAGTCTCTGTATTCTCATAAACCCAATGTACCTTCTTGTACATTAATAAATAAATAAACAAATAAATATTAACTGTTACTCTTTGCATTCTGTTTGACAGCAAAGTGACTATCCATCACCCTACTTTACCCGCTATTCTTATTGATCTCATTTTATTGACCATAACGCCATGGTTATATTTATCAAGTGTTACTGCAAAGTATCTTTATAGAACATCACCTTCTTGTTTCTGTTGCTTCTGTGGTTGAGTCATAATGGTTGAGTAACTGTGGAAGACAGGATCTCTCCCCAGTAAATCCATGTTGATCTGGCTGGTGAAATTTATTGTTCTGCATAAAACTGAAGAACTGATTCCTAATTACTCTTTCAAAAACATCAACTACGTGTGACGTTAGTGCAACTGGTCTAGATTTTCTAGCCAACGCTTTACTACCCCCCTTGTGTAGTGAAGCTATATCCGCTCATTTAAGGGCTTCTGGTGTCTCCAGGAGCCAATCTCAGCTTCTGAGATCTGAGCTTCAGATGAATCTGAATCTCAGATCTCAGATGAATCCGAATCTCAGCTTCTTCCTCATACTTCCCTGACTGCTCATAGTAATGGAAATTGACATTTTATAAATAAAAAGCTGCAAGAGTCTTGACCCGCAGCTAAGTGCATGGGGGGTATGTTGTAAGTTTCATTTCCAGAGTGTTCTGTGCTGCGTTAATACCAGTTATTTTGTTTGAGTTGTGAATATCGTTCATCAAGAAGCTGTCTGGATCTTCAACTTTCATGTTGCTCATTGTGGTGTTAAGTATATTCTGTTTCCTGTTGGGGGGGGGGGTGACTTAACTAATTTCTTTGTCGTCCTTTGTGTATGAAGCTTTACTTGTCAGTCTAGATCCTATACTGGTGCAAGTTTTTAATTTTGACTTTATAAATGTGAAAAAAAGTATTTTGGATTTATTACTCATTACAGTACACACTAATAAGGAGTCAACCCCACCACCTCACAGCACTCACAAGGAGGTAGATAACCCCACCACCTCACAGCACTCACAAGGAGGTAGATAACCCCACCACCTCACAGTACTCACAAGGAGGAAGATAACCCCACCACCTCACAAGGAGGTAGATAACCCCACCACCTCACAGTACTCACAAGGAGGTAGATAACTCCACCACCTCACAAGGAGGTAGATAACCCCACCACCTCACAGCACTCACAAGGAGGGGAGGAACCTCGCTACAAGACCAAACAACATTTGGAAACCACAGATAAATTAACACAATTAAGTAATATACATCTAAAATATATAATAGCATATATGTTTTATGCTCCATCATATTTTACTGCCGGCGTAATAATATAATAGTAGATTAACCAAGACAAATAAGTAGTGGGGGAAAAACCAGTTCTCTCCACTCTGATAAAGAAGCAATTAATATTCTGAATAAATTGACTCCAGAACAATTCACATATGTTAAAATTAACAGAATCGTATTGAAAGTGTAAATCTTTTAATGTATCAGAGGCACTTATAAGCAGACGTTGGTCTAATAGATCTCAGAGGGAGTGACCCACACTGGTTGTGTCAGCTGCTGACCACAGTCTAATAGATCACAGGGGATGTATATCACACGCACTTAGTGTCAGCTACCGGTGTTGGTATACTTGGGAAGTATATCACCCGTGTCTGCTACAGGGATAGCTCAAGTAGATCACCGGGGAGTTACGTTATACTTCTTCAGCTGTTGTGAATGTGTGTAAGGGTTCAGTCATATGGTCCTTCGGGCCCTTCCAACTATCTTCGGTAACCACCAGCAGTTAGAACTGGAGGTGACCTCGTTCCTAGAAGTGTTGAGTCACTCAACTCCTTGCAGTCAGTGTTGATATCAGGTATTCTAAGGTCATCTTAGGCGGGGACTCCTCCAGAGACTGAATGAACCCACGAAGTGTTACCCCAAGATTGAGGTGCTGCTGTGGTGAGGACCCCAGGGATGGCCCTCACACAGCTGGCCACGACCACGGGGACGACCCCTCACACAGCTGGCCACGACCACGGGGACGACCCCTCACACAGCTGGCCACGCCCACGGGGACGACCCCTCACACAGCTGGCCACGCCCACAGGGACGACCCCTCACACAGCTGGCTACGACCAGTATATCGTGAGTATATAACAACCAGCAAGGTGTCAACAAGTTCAAAGAGACATACCCTCTGTACTGGGTTGTCAGAGAGGAACCTTTGTCATTAATTACCCGTTGTAATTACAGTGAGGGCTACAGGCGTTGGTCTAATAGATCACCTGGGGAGCATGACTCGATTAATTCCACCTGCTCACTCCTCTGAGTGGGATGTGAAGGAGAAAGAAGTCTGTGCATCACGTGTTGTGAGTAAAAACTTGAATCTTGGGTTTTACGAACAATGAAAACTGATTTCGAAGGTGAATAAGCTGTGTGGTGTTGAGTGAACTATTGTTCACTGTAATTACACTCGCCCACTGATCCTTAAATGTTAGGAGTGTTCTACCTCTTTTACCTGTTCTTATGGCATCATTTTATATATATATATATGTCGTACCTAGTAGCCAGAACTCACTTTTTGGCCTACTATTCAAGGCCCGATTTGCCTAATAAGCCAAGTTTTCCTGAATTAATATATTTTTTCTAATTTTTTTCTTATGAAATGATAAAGCTACCCATTTCATTATGTATGAGGTCAATTTTTTTTTATTGGAGTTAAAATTAACGTAGATATATGACCGAACCTAACCAACCCTACCTAACCTAACCTAACCTATCTTTATAGGTTAGGTTTGGTTAGGTAGCCGAAAAAGTTAGGTTAGGTTAGGTTAGGTAGGTTAGGTAGTCGAAAAAACATTATTTCATGAAAACTTGGCTTACTAGGCAAATCGGGCCTTGCATAGTAGGCTGAGAAGTGCGTTCTGGCTACTAGGTACGACATATATATATATATATATATATATATATATATATATATATATATATATATATATATATATATATATATATATATATATCAGGCAAATGCAGCCTTATATTTTGGTAGCAGTCTTTGCTGTAGGCAAATGTTAATGAATGTGATGGGAAGAGTGAGAGGAATGATTCCAGCACAAATGTTATGTTTATTTTCCTTACATTTTTCTTCACTTGGGAAGGAAGTTAGAAAATTAACTCTCCAAAGTTCATTTTTACAGTTTTCTTTGGCCTGACGCTAAGAGACGCGTTTCCTTAACTCTTAATAACATTGTCAACGGCAGAGTCCAAATGATTTAATAGATTCTTGTTATGTGATTTACACCCGAGGATGAGGTGAAGGTGATGAGGTGAGGGTGATGAGGTGAAGGTGATGAGGTGAAGGTGATGAGGTGAAGGTGATGAGGTGATGAGGTGAAGGTGATGAGGTGAAGATGAGTATATCTCTGGTGATAGTCTGGTTATGTATAGAGACTACTGTGTTCATATATAGGTCCTCGCTGCGTGTGAATAACTGCTGCTTGAGAGGGAATTGGTTTAGAAAAGGTTGCCTCGTCTTATATACTGAATTCGTTGGGGCTGACAGTCCCCAAGTGGACAGGTGAAGGCATAGACAACATTCGTCTCCTTCAAGGTGTGTTGTTTGGTGTCTAGAGAGTTCTTGATGAGCAAGTTGGCACTCTTCTCGCTCTTGTAGTATATTATTACTTCAATTGTCTGGTTGGTGTCAGTGGGTTATCTTGAGATGATTTCGGGACTTTAGTGTCCCCGCGGCCCGGTCCTCGACCAGGCCTCCACCCCCAGGAAGCAGCCCGTGACAGCTGACTAACACCCAGGTACCTATTTTACTGCTAGGTAACAGGGGCATAGGGTGAAAGAAACTCTGCCCATTGTTTCTCGCCGGCGCCTGGGATCGAACCCAGGAGCACAGGATCACAAGTCCAGCGTACTGTTCGCTCGGTCGACCGGCTTGTGTTTCAATAATTTCTATCAATAATGTTTTTCAGGACCTTCTCTTCCGTCTTGTGGTGCCCGGGGAGAAGATCTTGAAGATTATATGAATATTAGGAACCGACGGTGTACTGTTGTATCTAAGGTCGCATGGCGGCTCACCTCCCTTGTGAGGAGTTCTTCGACATATCTTCAACCACGTGGCCTGGACGGTAGAGCAACGGTCTCGCTTCATGCAGGTCAGCGTTCAATCCCCGACCGTCCAAGTGGTTGGGCACCATTCCTTACCCCCTTCGTTCCCTCCCAAATCCATATCCTGATCCCTTCCAAGTGGTATATAGTCGTAATGGCTTGGTGCTTTCCCTTTATAATTCCATTCCCTTCAACATATCCATTAGAGTATCCATTATTGACCTGCCTTACTCTACCAGTATTGACCATTACCTGCCTTACACTACCACTATTGACTAGGACCTGCCTTACACTACCACTATTGACTAGGACCTGCCTTACACTACCACTATTGACCAGGACCTACCTTACACTACCAATATTGACCAGGACCTGCCTTACACTACCACTATTGACTAGGACCTGCCTTACACTACCACTATTGACTAGGACCTGCCTTACACTACCAATATTGACCAGGACCTGCCTTACACTACCCAGTTCCTCGTCAACCTGCTCCCAGCTGGAGCTGTGTGGGGAAGGGGGGGGGGCGAGGATGACGTACCCATTGACAACACTCTCAAGGTTGTCAACCATGACACTCATTCTTAGCATTAAGACACATTCCCATGAACAAATGGGACGCAGACGCAGGTTCGAATCCTCGTCACTGCCCTTATGGATTAGTTCATTTGATGCATCACGTTAGTGTGATCTGTGTGTGTGACACATTCCCATGCTAGTTCCCGTAGTGTAGACTGCAGAGTGAAGCCACCAAGATACAGCAGGCATTTACCCTCTGGATCACAACACTAATGCGCTGGAACAGGAAACTGGCCGCTCTTGAGTCTCTTGTTTGACTAATAAGTTCCTCACCCACCTCCTTTTGGGAATTTAAGTGAACATTTACCCCAGGCGTCCAGGGTCTCAGAACCTAATTCTAAGGGTCTCAAGTAACAGGTTCCCAGGTCAAGGAACAACTTCCCCGGACAAGGAACAACTTCCCAGGTCAAGGAACAACTTCCCTGGTCAAGGAACAACTTCCCTGGTCAAGGAACAACTTCCCTGGTCAAGGAACAACTTCCCTGGACAAGGAACAACTTCCCAGGTCAAGGAACAACTTCCCTGGTCAAGGAACAACTTCCCTGGTCAAGGAACAACTTCCCTGGTCAAGTAACAACTTCCCTGGTCAAGGAACAACTTCCCAGGTCAAGGAACAACTTCCCTGGTCAAGGAACAACTTCCCAGGTCAAGGAACAACTTCCCTGGTCAAGGAACAACTTCCCTGGTCAAGGAACAACTTCCCAGGTCAAGGAACAACTTCCCTGGTCAAGTAACAACTTCCCTGGTCAAGGAACAACTTCCCAGGTCAAGGAACAACTTCCCTGGTCAAGGAACAACTTCCCTGGTCAAGGAACAACTTCCCCGGTCAAGTAACAACTTCCCTGGTCAAGTAACAACTTCCCTGGTCAAGTAACAA